AAGCAAATAATTTGAATAAAAACAGATTGCTTTAAGGTTCCATGTAAAACATTATTTTACCACAGCCCTTATAAAAGACTTTACTTCCAAAGGTTGAAACAAAAAATGAAAAGAAATGTACACATTTTTGACGGGCCGTATTAAGCATATGTAAATTAACGAAGTGAGAAAGTGAGGGGGGAGAGAGAAGACATAAGTGAGTTAGATGTCATTTAATATTTCTATTCTTTCATACTTAAAATTAAATATATATATATATATATATATATATATATATATATATATATATATATATATATATATATATATATATTCATGTATAGGTATATGTTGATATGATTGACCGTAGTCAGTCTATCAGTATAGAGTCTCTGGTACTTCGGGGTCGGTTGAGATGACGTGGTCATGTGATCAGTATAAATGACGATATGAGGCCTAAGCAGTTTTATGCAATGACATGACTGAATAAAAAAGGTTTGGACATAAACCGAAATTATGATATAAAGATTATATCAAGAACGTATCGTAGTAGGTCAGTCATGTAAAATGACTGGTAAACATCGCTTTAGCTGTAGATCGTATCTCCTAGAGGAAAGCATTCAACAATGGTAAGTAATACTTTGAACAGAACTGAGATAAGGTTGAACAACACAAGAGAGATATTCGTAAGGATCTTGATGTTAATTTCCCTGCAAAGATTGTGATTTAGCATCTAATGAATAGGGTCGTGTCTAAGTCGGACATAATCAATTACGCCACACACAGTGATTCGTTACACGTTATGTACTATTTATGCAACAACTAATACAAAAGATGTCCAACGTTGCCGCGTCTACACAAGAGAATATAAGGCCCTAGATGGACTATAAAGTGAAAATTACTATTTGTCTTTTCCTCGTATAAGTTTTAAAAGTTACATTAATCCTATTTTCGGTATTAATAATATAAGATTTCTTCTCTATAATAAGCATATCTTGTGGCATGTAAAGAACATTACTGTCGTTTAAATCTTCAAGATTAAATCTTCAAAATTAAATCTTCATAATTAAAAACATCAAATGAAAGATAACACGAAACGTAGAAATAAAAAGCAATGTATAAACGATGTGTTCTGAATAATTATGAGATATTCGCTTATTATTCCTGTTTATTGGCATCGGTCACTACTACTTATCTTAATAACGAAATCTCTCATTTATATGGAGAATCAGTAAGTGGGACCGATAAATTACATTCTTTAATATTATCATTGAACAGATTATAATTATAGTGATCTTTATAATACAGTCTTTATTGAAAATGATTTGACAGCAAATCGCCTGTGAAATTAAGTACACTTTTTCTTCTTCTTGTTCTACTTCGTCTTCTTTTTTGCCTTCTTTTTGTTTTTGTTCTTCTACTTCTTCTTTATTAACAATAATAATTCCCGAGTTATTATTATAATTATTATTAATAATAATAATAATAATAATAATAATAATAATAATAATAATAATAATAAATACAAGAATAATAATAGTACTAATAATAAATACAAAAAATTGTACTCACAAGTACAGCCCCAAAATACAAAATATTGAAGGGATTTACTTAAGGATTTGACCAGAAATCAAAGGAAATATAACAACAACAACAACAATAATAATAATAATTAATGTGTGATGTATCTTTGATGATCTTTGATGATCTTCAAAAAACTATCAAAATACAAGGACTTTGAAATCGAAATCTCTTGAGGACATTAACAATTCCAATTGTAGTTGTAGCCCTCGGAATGATTGGAAACGATTCCAATAGACGTATTGAAGTAATCCCTTATAGCCCATGCATTAAAAAAATACAAAGATGTACTCACAAGCGCAACCCATAGGTTACGAAGGACTGTATCTATGTAAAATATGTGCGATTTTTTTTTATACTGCTCAGTGGAAAATGTCATGATGCCATTTCTGATCTTAGGTCTCTGGTCGGGAACCGGCAAGAAATGAGTATACACCATAAATCAAAGAAAATAAAACAATAATAATAATTTTAGTTCGCAAAACCAGACGTTGCTGACAAAAAAGAAACCCTCCTCATCGGCGTGGTTGTTTCTTGCTGACCATAACATCAAGGTCAAAGAAATCGTAAATATTAAGAAATACACCGACTAAGTTGTGGGGCATTTAGGCCACTATTGTCCGAGTTCTCATTGGGACTTTGTCTATTCTAACGAACTTAACTCCTGCTTATGGCGATAAATTATATCTGTCAGCAAGGCCTCTGATATGGAGCTTGGATGTTTTGAGGAGCGCGGACCCATCTCTTAAGTGCTGTTGTTCCCTGACCCAGCCTGACCCGAGGTGGTAGTACCTGTTAGGGTCCCAGATATGCTTAAATAGTGAACGCCAAACAAGCATCAACATTACTTTTTTAATACATTTTCATAGCAAAATGACAATCAATGTAACAGAAAATAAATAAAAATACATTTTTATGATCTACAAATGATATATATATATATATATATATATATATATATATATATAGGTATATTAGGTCCCTTTATATATATTTATATATATATAATCGACTCTCCCGTCGCGTTCGACGTATGAGGGCCAGGCCGATAAGTCCCCAGGAAACCGACATCCCGACACCGGCACATGAGATTTGTTTATAGTGATGAAGGCCTTGTGCAGGACCAGCCACACTTTTTGGAGGGACGAATACAGAAACCTGGTGCACCGAATGCATGCCACAAGGTTCCCAATATATATATATATTTTTTTTTTTTTTATATATATATATATATATATATATATATATATATAAACACACCTTTATCCTTAAAGTATAAAATTAAATACGACATATCTGTAGTTAAAGGCATACAATTACGTACAAAATATTTATATGACCCAGAGAGGTGTTGATATGCCGCTAGACAAAATCAACCAACCCGAACTTGAAGTCCTATAATAAAAACATCAGAATAAAACCTAGTATTCCATCGCTTCAGAAGTCTACGCTGTTTGGCATGACAACATTTCATCAGTTCTTCGAAAATCTTTCTCTGTTCGAGATGATATAAATGGAGAACACTGATAACATAAGATCTGGGCTGAAGTAAAAAAGATCGTGCAAATACTCACAGGATGAATAAAGGAAATGAGGGACAAGGGAAAAAAGTATAAAACCCGGCATGACAGAATGGGCCAATATCTGCACTGGAAAATATGCAACTTCTACGGGAAGGAAACTGAAAGAAACTGTTATGAATACCACCTAGAACCGGTTACGGAGATAAGACCTGTTACAATTCTATGGAACTACACAATACACACTGACAGAACAATGAAAGCCTTATTGATATGGAAGTCCCTGCAGACTGCAATTTATCTTTGAAGATATTCAAAACGCTATCAAAATACAAGGACCTTGAAATAGAAATCCCAAAAATGTGGCATATGGGAACATCAACAATCCCTGTTGTAGTTGGAGCCCTAGAATTGGTTGAAAAAGATTCCAGTAGACTAATTAAAGGGATTCCTGGAAGTCCATGCCTCAAAGAGATACAAAAAAATTTTCTGACAAGTACAGCCCACACTTTACGAAGGGCTTTATCTATGTAATTTTATTTGTCTGTGGAAAGTGTCATGATGCCATTTCTAACCTTAGGTCCCTGGGCGGGACCCGGAAAGAAATGTGTAAACGCCAGAAATCAAAGAAAATAATACTAATAATACTACTACTACTACTACTAATAATAATGATATGTGCACTGGAAAATATGCAAGAAGCCCTGAGAGAGGGTATGAGCACCAACCAGACACTGTTACCCAAAATAACGATGTAACTCTCATCTGAGACATGCCAATTTCAACTGACAGGTAAACAAGAGCCAACAGACGTGATATTATCATAAAATACAAGAAATTCAGGAAGTGTATGCTTATTGGCCCAACAGTACCATCTGAGAGAAACACCTCCATGAAAATTATCGAGACATTTTCCAAATACAAAGACCTGGAGATCAAGATTAACAGGATGTGGGAATGAAGACTGAGACTGTACCAATAGTAATCGGAGCACTGGTCCTTGTGAGAAAAGGAATGGACAATTTTACTAACAGTATTCCAGGTAACATCAACATACAAGTTTTACAGAAAATCGCCCTACAAGGAACATCCAATATACTTAGAAAAGTGCTATCAATAAAATGTCAATTCCCGTATAGGGCCTAAAGACCATAGTTTGGACTCAACTCTAGAGGATAGAAAGCATGAAACATAGCATTCACAAATAATAATAATAATAATAATAATAATAATAATAATAATAATAATAATATCACGAATTTCAAGAAGAAATATAAAATGAAAGTAGGAAATGAAATTCCACCACTCAAGGAAAATTTCAAACAAAAACTGCAAATAAAGTCACAGAGAACATGGCTGTATGAAAACTGTTATAGATTTTATTAACAAAAGATATTTCAAAAGACCTCAAGAAATTTTACAAGGAAATTGGAAAGAAGTTATAAAAGTCAAATTGTTCTCACAAGTACAGCTGAAGCCCACGAAGGACTTTGCCTATGTACAATGGCTCTGATCTAAGGTCGCTTTATATTTATTTTTTTTAGAAAAATGTCCGGTAGAAAATGTCAGGAAGCCATTTTTGACCTTAGGTCTCTTGTGGGGACCCGGAAGGAAATAAGTCTACAATAAAATCAATGGAAAACAACAATAACAGCAACAATACTACTAGTACTACTACTACTAAAAATAATAATTTTTTGATTAGCTTCTCGGGTTGTGCATGAATAATGACCGATCAGTGATGAGTATAGTAAAAAAACAACCGAAACGAAACGTACTGCGGCGAAACGAACGGCCTTTTACGTATATCCCTCCAGCTAAACATCCGCTCAACCGCGACAGTAAGCCGAGAAAGTCGCTCTCCAAGATCACAATTGAATGAGAAACTTCTGTTAATAAAATTCTAATCGATATAGTGACCTGCAAAAGAGAGAGAGAGAGAGAGAGAGAGAGAGAGAGAGAGAGAGTTGTTTCCTAAGCAAACACGCAGATGTGTTCGTCGTTGTAGCCCCTCCGTTACCGTAAACAAGCAATACTTTACACTGTCCGAAATTGTTTGCTTTCTCTGTTTCTTTTCACTGTAGTATTTAAATTCATTCTTTTTTTTTTCATTCGTTATTATTCAACGCATTTGTAAATCAATTCACATAGGCAAGGACACACGCGCACATACATATATTTTAAGCATTGCACCAAACCTGAATCGTTCATAAATGTTCAGGATGTGAAATTAATAAATGCAAAAAACTTCAAATACCTCCGTTTATGGATCAGTTATAAGAACTAGAGTATCGGGGAGAAGGAAATTGAACATAGAATAGGTTGCACGAGAGATAGTTTCCCCCCAACACTACAAGTTGTTACATAACTAAAACATTAACTAGATCATATATATATATATATATATATATATATATATATATATATATATATTATAAATTAATTGATTTAAAATATGTTTTTTTTCGCTCCACAGTTATAACCATGTTTCAAAAATGGAAGCTAAAAAGCCACGAATTTAATTTTACAATTAAATTAAAGAACACCAGATTATATATCTTACTGTTCTTTCTTTTATTTAAATACATACATATATATATATATATATATATATATATATATATATATATATATATATATAAACTATTAGCTATATATATATATATATATAAACTATTAGCTAATATTATTATCAATATTACTCACACATGCACACAGTAAAAAGAACCTTCAGATATTAAAGTCCATCTACATTAAAACGAAACAACCCACACTCAACAAAATTACATTTCAAACTAGTGCATCTGGACATTATTGATTCTGTTGTAATATTTCCGTCTATCACGTGGTATGACGTCATAGAACCGGATCTTGGACTTACGATCTGCGTCTGCTATTCCGCGACCGTTATTTTCGCATAGCAATTTTCTATGTGAAAATAACACAATATCATCTTTGACGGTGGATATCGTTGTTTTATGCCTGTATAGCTATTCTGAGGATGGCTCATGCGAGCCAAAAACTTAGGGCCATTTTAATAAAAAATCTCCAAATTCATTGTCCGTTATATTTGATAATATACGTTTAAATACATATATATATATATATATATATATATATATATATATATATATATATATATATATATATATGTGTGTGTGTGTGTGTGTGTGTGTGAAAAATATATAGAAAATAGGAAAGAAATCGTTAGGTAAATAATACAAACTACACATTATTAAGTAAATAATACAAACTACACATTATTAAGTTTCTAAATAATAAAAATAATAAAAATTTATTAAACAATAGACATGAGTTAACGGTTTTTTGCCGACATCATCAAATTTTTGCATTGAATAATTAGCATAAAAACAAACAAACAATAAAATAATTTTTAAATTCCATAGTCCTAATAAATAGTTTAAACGCCCTACAAAAAAATAACCCTTTATGAAGTCGTCAAAAAACAAATGTTAGCGACTTACGACAGTTTTTATATACACAAAACCCTTTCAGAATAAAATAAAAATAAAATAAAAAAATAAATAAATCTCCATAGACACTTAACCAGACTAGACGATGTCATCTTCTCTTTAAATTTAGACACCCCAACCTTACCATGACTTGACATCTGTGAATGTAACTGAGATATTGATAAAAACTATTAACACCTTACGCCCCTTTTGTTTAAACAATTGCTCTAGCCGTTACCATAGAAATTTTGATTTCAATAATGAATATACTTATAAAACGCGTAAATTTCAGAAATAAGTTATTCCAAAAAAATTTCGTTTGAAGATGGAACAGAGCTTAGTACTTTAATTCAATTTAATTCAAATAATTATATGGAAGTTTTCGGCTCTTGTTTTGAAACATGAGAACTCTTATGTAGCGTGTTGGAATCATATTTTTAAATAAATAATTATATATATATATATATATATATATATATATATATATATATATATATATATATATATATTGAGGATGGCTCATGCTATATATTAAGCTTAGGACCAAGTTAATAAAAAACATCCAAATGGTGGACAATTTTTGTCTTTATTTTTTCGAGAAAGCAGACAACATAGACATTTATTGTTACATCTAATAATATATGTTTACATAATGATCTGCTGCTCCAATACACTAAACTATTAGTTGTATACAGCTATTATCTCAGACCAATTGTTAATATGGTTTCAACGTATGAAACCTGGAAATATTAGCGAGAACCATTTTTCTTCCAATCTTGTGGAACGACGACAGAATCGCTGAGAACTGTACCGGATAATAGAAAACATATAACTTGTATAGCGCAGAAGAAAATTTATGACGAAATCAAGATGATGATGTTCAACAAAAAGTTAGGAAGGAAACTCCCAACAATTGTGGAAAGAGCGATAACAGCTACTGGTCTTGAGAGATACGTTTTCCTGGAAAAAGTATTTAAGAGAAAGATTTTATAAATTTCAACTGACAGCAGCACAGGTTGCTCGCTCAACCGAAAGCCAAGTGTTTCCTTATAAAAAAACGGTTAATATTACCATTACGATTAAAGCTTCCTGACAGTGGAACTCCCTTCCACTTACTCGCTTCCCTAATAATACATTTTAATGCAACGTCAATTGCCATCTTCTGTAGCCTTGATCCCACTTCTTTTATCCTTTCCCCAATCTCCACTATACACAGTCTTTTCCCTCACTTTCACTCTCTGTAACCCCTTGCGTAATAGTGGGACTTCCGCCGTGCTTCGGGCGAATTGCTAAAAAAAAAAGAAAAGATAAATGGAACAGATATTACATTTGTTACCCCCCCCCAACACACACAGTTATATGGCATAAGGCCGGTTTAAAATGGGAACTCAAGCGCATGAACATGGGTTAAAACCAATCGATATTCCATCGCTCCCACTTTTGATTTAATGAAGGAAATACTTCGGAAGAGAAGAACACAACTGAGAAATAAAATGTAAAATTTCCCTAGTAGGGAAATATTGCCGACTACTTGTCAGTGATGGTGTGAGGAAAGTGAGTAAAAGAAACTTCCCAGCTTCAATCATTTGCAGATCATGTACTCCAACCAACCGAGCATTTCTCAAAGATTTTGGAGGATGGACGTGCTTTTTTTTTCCAGGAAATCTGCTAATTGCTAATTTGTATTCGCTACATCCCTCATTTTTTCTGTTTATTGCCGTTGTTTATTGGTTATTTGATTTTTTTCTGTTTAATCCGATACCTTAACTTACTCACACTTATTTTACGCCAACAATATTCAGAGTGTCCTTATTTTCAAATATCTCATTACCGTTTGTCTTTTCCGCTTGTCGTTTTTTCATTGCAGTTGTTTTATTATATTTTTTCTTTGATTTCTGTTGCTTAAACACTTGGTTCCGGGTCCCAACCAGAGACCTAAGGTCAGAAATGTCTTCATGAGATTTTCCACTAATTAATTTTTTGCGAAATAAAACAAAAAAACTACAAAAATACTAAGATCACACATATGTTATATAAATAAAGCTCTTTGTAATGTGTGAGCTATTGCCATGTGAGTACAATTTTTTTGTATTTCTTTAAGACTTCGCCTACCAGGAAGTCCTTCAGTGAGCCTATTCAATCAAACTGTGGGTTCCATCTACAACTGGAATTTTTGATGTCCTCATGTGTTATATTTTTCTTTTTGATTTCCAATTTAAAATCCTTGTATTTTTATATTTTCGAAGATCTTCAAATATACATTACAATCTGAAGAGACTGCCATTTCAATAAGAGATTATTATTATTATTATTATTTAAATATATTCTTAATGCTTCTAGTCCTTGTAACTGTGCTTTCCGGTTTATGTGGTATCGAGACTTCGTGTTATTGTTAAAGGTTCGTTGGATTTATTGTATCTATCCATTTTATTGACTCCAAGAGCACATATATACAGGTAGGTAAATATACTTCTTTGTATAGGGTTCATTCAGGATGTTGGTGATCATGGCTCTCCATAATTTCTTATATGCAGATCTTAGGAACGTTTGTCTATTACGATCAATCCAAACCACCGTCCTTTCATTCTTTCAGATATGCTAGTCTTATAGGTGGCTCGCTGCATTCTCCTGTACTTTGGGGCATTTAGCCATGTGAGGATCAGATATTAAAAGACCTCTTTCCTCAGTATGTTAGGCGAATATCATAGGAAAAACGTATGGCAAAGGGGAAAAAGATTTTCGTGTTTCTGTAAACTAGAGAGGGTTACCGAATGAGGAATAATCAAAACAGAGGTTGGAAATGAAATGATAATCTTTATAACATCAACAAAATAAAATACTCGCCAGCGGCGTGAAGTAGGTAAACCACTGCTAGTGGTGGACTATTTAGACAGAATATTACGATATTTACCTGCCTCCCGACGAAGTAAGATGTGGCACGAGGCCAAATTTAATGTGGGGTAACCCGAGCCGCTGAGCTCAGACAAAAATTTCCCGTAGACTCCGCAAACGTGGGATCGGGTATCTGCCTACCTCCCCGGACGACACTCTGCCCTTCAGCACAGCCTCGTCCGAGTTCCTCTCTGCCCGAAGGCAGAGAGTTTAGACACGGCAAGAGTTTCTCACGCTGCCAGCGTAGACACCCTATTAAGATATTTATTTCTGTTAAAAATACAAGTGTGACACAAGGCCGAAAAAGGGGATGGGAAAAACGGACCGTCTTCATCTGTCTGAATTTTAAACTTAGCTAGCCACAAGCACTGACACAAACATACAAACAATATCTCTTAACACCAAAGCAACACATTCTTACTAACTTTTCTTACTACATCCACCATAATACCTCATTGTCTCAATGAAAATCCTAAATAGTCCCTATACGTACAAATCGAAATAGAAACCCTATTACCCCCACTTAGAATAGTGTCTAACGTGTTTGTGAGGTTTGGGACAGAGTTATTAATATTTACTTACATTTCACAAATTTTATTTAGCACAAAA